TGCAATATATTATTTTCTTGAACAACATTCTTGGAAGAACCCTGAGAGCATCAGAGTCTTTTGATTTGAGTTCTGCAACTCTAGCTGCAAAAGTTATGGCTGCTGTGAAGAAACACTGAATTGTGGTCTCTTCTACACAGTGCATAGCTATTTCTCTTTCTCTCTGTCTCCCCCCTCAACAATCAATAAAAGAAATGCAGATCTCCCAAATGTCATTTTCTTCAGTCATTTGGTAACATAATGGAAATAGTGAAGAAATATAGATTGATTTCCCCAAGCTATCACTTCCAGCTGGTCTTAATCAGTTTGTTTTCCTTGCAGAAAAAAGAGATGATCTTCACCGATTTATATGTTTCTCATTGGCATCTTCATTCATCTTCTCATCTATGTCAGATTTCCATCATGTGGTGAGGTTTTTCATAGTGAAAATGTCGCCAAATAACTGTGATAATTACCCAGGTTCCATGTTCTTATTCTGCAATTATACCTTCTTCATAAATAATACATTACAAATAAAAAGTATGTGTGCATGTGTGCATGTACACACACAGAGACGTACTATATGTATTATTGTCTTAAATGCTTTAAATAGCAATCAGAAACTTAAAAGAAAATCTTTTCTCACAAAACACACAGCACAAATAATACTATGCTTGATATATATCCTGTATCCTTTGCATTTATATTGTATCAGTATTACAGAGAATTAATGTTGCTTTGATGTGCCTCATTTAACAGTCTTCTCACAATTATAAAGTTACACAAGATATGTAAATGAATATGTAAATACTCCTGAAGTCAGAGTTTGTAACAGTTATAGCTAAATGTTACAGTTTAATTAATAACAATTATTTAAAATGAGTCAAGCTTGCATTTTAAATCTCTTCTCTCAACAGCTCATCAGCTGTAAATGCTTTAATAAAAGAATCTAGCACTATTTTGCCAAAAAAGGATAATAGAAAATTTAAACTGCATTTTAAGTGGAAAATTCTTAACCTAAACATTTTCAGGAATATTTTTAAAAGTTGCAAAAAATGGTGGTTTTTTTTTTAGCACATTGACATAGAATTGTGCTGCTCATTACAATGATAATTTCTTTATAAACACAAGACTTCCACATTTTACGTTGAATACAGTTATTCTGTTAGCACACCCTTGACCACAATAATGAAAAGATAATTAGAAAATCAATACTTGGGTTGAAGACAAATAAGCAAATATGTGTGACAGTGCTTATGGAACATGGTCAGAAGCACAGAAGACTAAGAAAGTAGAACCTTGTTTTTAGCAAAATACCAGTTGCAACCTAGCCATTTCTCTCCTAGCCACAATTTTCCTCATGTTCATGATATTTCAAAGCAGAGGTTCTCAATCTTTTCTTCACTACATATCCCACTTAAATACCTTTTGTGGCCACTGACCATGCCACATACCATCAAGACTCAACTCAAGATTTAAGGTTTGAAGAAACCTTCGTGCCACTTCCAATGGGATGATATTGTATCCTATAAGAGTCTACAGATCACTGGTTGAAAACTATTGCTCTAAAGCATTTTCTATTATTTTAGCCATATTAAAGTCACACATTGTGACTTTCTATATAAAAAAGCTTGTGATAGTAATGTTTCGAATTTCTTAGACCTACCCTTGGCATATATTCCCAGAAATGGTAAATTATAAAAATTGTTGTGGCAAAGGGAGAATTGTTGTGGTAAAAGCAGGGGTAGTCTTTATGTTTTTGGAATTTTATTATGGAAGACTATAGAAAATAGGCTCTTCTAATTTCAAAGAAATTATTCTGACTAGAATTTGTTTCATCTTGTCTTCTGCTCCAATTGAGAGTCACTTTCTAAGATTATAAGCACTAGTTGTTCCCAATGATGTTATCTTGAATAGTTTAATTCATTGCTGTATTGCCCTGAGCAGTGGCAGATTAAGGTTCACTGGTGCCCTAAGCACTGACAAATCTTGGTGGCCCCTCCTTTGTACATACTGTACAAACAAAGCCATATTCTCAACTTTGTGGTGCCCCCTTTGGGCCTGGTGCCCTAAGCACATGCTTAGTTTGCTTAATGGTTAACACACCGCTGGCCCTGAGCCCTGCAGCTATCTTGGACCATGCTGTCAAATTTCAGTAGTGTGGTTGATAAAAATCAGTGATGCAATTTATGCCATTTCAAGATAGAAAATACAAGAAAATGATTGGGTATGCTGCACCAATAGAGTATTATCATAAAAAAATGAATATATTACCCCTATCCCAGAACAAAACCTATAAAAACATGGAATCCTTAAGCATTATCCAGTCCTATACACTTTGGAACATCATGTAATTACAACATTTGCACAGTCTAAAAATATTTAGTGTGATTCTGACTATAAATATTCCAACTTTCCACTCCTCTTCAAGCTTAAAATACCAAGCATGGAACTATAATATTCCTGTAAAACAATTTTTTTACACTTGATGTGGAAAAAGATGCATTTAATGGATTGAGAATGCCTCTCAATTGATGCACTTTAAAGAGGCTAGTGATTTATTTTTGAAATCAGCAATGCAGGTAAATACGGAAATTAAATTATTCATGGATTCTGTACACAATACTATATATTAAGCTATATTTAATATGCTATTCCAATCTTACGCAAAAAAATACTATTTTGTGGGGAAAATATTCAAGTACAACAGATATTACCTTCAACTCCTGAAGTAAAGTCAGATCATAAACTAATAAATAAAATAAACTTGCCTTAGGTAGGAAACACTTTTACATAGGAAATAATACACAGTTCTCATTCAAGCAATTGCACATTATGATTCTACCACTTCAGGTTGTTATGGTTATACATGGAGTTCTTGCTTAACAATAGTAATTGGGACTGGAAGTTTGGTCGCTAAGCAATGTAGTCTTAAAGCACAGTGTCACATGACTTCATAGCTTAGTAATGGCAATCCTGGCAGTCCCTGTTGCCATTGTTAAATGAAATTTGTGGATCATTAATTCACCACCTCCTTGTGACTTCCTACCAGTTTCCAACAAGCAAAGTCAATGGAGAAGTGAGGTAGGAGTTGCAAGTCCCACATGGGACCAGGCTAATGTTAATTGAGGGCTACCTGCCCTGGAAAACCTAATTTGCTTGTTTGCATATAGTGTATGGAATAGAATGCACTTGTATTCATTTGCCCTGAGAGAATTGGTTTCTGTTGCCTTATTTTCAATATCAAAGTAAAACTTTGTTTCCACTTGGGTCTGTCCCTTTGTCAGTACTGTAGAATAGGTATCTCCATCCCATGCAGAAGTGTGTGTTTATGTGTGTTTGTGTGTATGTGTCTAGGGGCATGCAGAAAGGGCTGCAAGAGAAAGACAAGGAGAATTCTATAGGGCAAGTGGAAGTTCACTTTGTAACCCAAAATGTTATTTAATATAGAGTTCCAAAATTTAAAGTCAGTTGAGACAACCTCCCACACATAACCTATGTAATCTTGTTTTCGGAACTCCCCAGACTGATGAAAAGAACACCAGCAGCAAATACCTCAAAGGAAGACTGTATCCTTTGATTTCATGCTGTAATAATTACTTTGCAGCAGTAAAGAGGTGATTAATTCTAAACCTCCCCACCTCAAAAAAATAAAAATAAAAAAAAATTCTGGGAAACACTGTAGTCTGTTAGGTGCTCTTGTGGATACCACAGGAAAAATATGTGCTTCCCCAGAGTCATCTGTCAGATTTCATCTGCCCAGATTGTCAAAACACTGTGCAAGAACAACTCACATTCCATGTGATGCCCTTCAAAGGCCGGCAAGACATTTCATTCAGAGCTTTAACTAAAGATTGGAATTCTAGAAGGGGGGCGTGGAAACACACTTGTCTGCTTTGCTGACGCAATTCCCTGCACGTGTTTTCTGCTCCCTGCATGTGTTTTCTGTTCCTACGGCAAGCAAGATTTTTTTTTCTTAATGAAAGTTTAAAAGAGCCAGAGAGGCATGAGTGCCTAGCTGTAGAATATGTGTGCATCCATTGAGCTATCTTGATAAAGGGAATAAGGAGAGGACTTTCCTCTATTAGAACAAGCATCAAAGAAGGCAGATTGGCTCAAGAGATTCTCCTCTTTAAATACACGCACACAGGGAGAAGGAAAACTCTGTTTAACTGCCTGAGAGTTTCCCAATGAACTAAACAGATGGGGAAAGACCAAAGAATAGGTTAGCATTGAATTGGCTGAATCCCAAACAGGCATGGCAGAAACTCTGCACCACTATTTCTTACCTTGGATTAGAGTATGGCTTAATTGACCATCTTGCCATTCATTCATCCAAGAGAGAATTGTATTGCTTCTCTCTCTTGCTGGATTGCATGACTCCAACCGGAACTAGATCTTACCAATGCCAATGAGCATGGAGTTTTATATAAACCTGTTCCTGCTAAAAAAAAAAAAATCTCCTTGCTTACCCTCCCATCTGAAGTGGGGGGGGGGTACATTTCAGCCCCCTGTTTTCTGTCACCGGTTTTGAAGCTGATGCTCTGCATAGTACAGGGCTGGGGAATAACAGCGAGGACAACCTGCAAACCTTGAAAAACTATTGAATACTGTACTTAAGATGCACAGAAGGAAAGGGTGAATACATGAGGATACATCCTATGGGCAGGTCATAGAAAGGGCGCCACCCCAAACTTCCGGGGATGGCAAGCTTGAGCTGCAGAACTTGCCTTGAACCCAACCACCCGGCACAGTCCGGAGAATAAAAAGCGGGCGGCTGGATGGATCCGGGCTGTGCGCACAGGAGTGCCTGCCAGATTAAAGAGAGAAGGGCACTAGGGGAGGCAAGCAATCGCTTTCTGGGGAAGGCGGGCAAAATCACAGCCAGAAAAAAACCGCCTTACTGCCTTGCAGGGGAATATTGTCCCGGGTTCGAGTGACCCTCCCCCCCAACCCTCCCCTCCTCTCCCCGCAGTGCCGCCTGGAGCGCGGCTGAGTTGCTTTGCTTTCCCGTTTCTCACCAGCGTTCCTCAGCTTCTTGTTCCTATACACGGACAGGATCACCAGCAAGTTGCCCAGCAGGTCCACCACGATGGTGAAGATCAGGACCACGGCCAAGGTGGAAGCCACCCAGGGGGGCCTGTCCAAGGTGAGCTGGTCCTGCGGCCCTGAGACGTTCAGCCCGCTCTCATTGGCTGGCATGCTGAGAGGAGCCGCTCAGCGGACGTCCATGCCAGCGATGCCAAGTTGGGCAGCAGAAGAACTCGGTCCCTTTTCCTCGGCCCTTCCTTACGGGAGGCGCTGGACGTGGACGAGGCGGGCTGGGAGGAGAACGGCATTACTCCGTCTCCCTGTCCCTTGGCCAAAGAGCCGGCTCCTCGCTGGCCCTAGCGCCGGACGCCTCCCATCGTCGTGCGCCCCATCTCTCCTCTTTACTCAGCCTAGGACGTTTCGCCGAAGTGGGCATGTGCTTCCCTGGAGTTATTTTTATAGCATTCCCCCACCCACCCCCCTCCCTTCTCCTCGTCCCGCCTTCATCGCCCCGACGCTTCGGCTGCTCCACTTGCGTCCACACCTCAGCGCCTCTCCCCAAGCCCCACACAGACGCCCCAACAGCCGCCACCGTTGTCTCCAGGTGACATTCCGCGTTGGCGTCTGGCCTCCCTTTCCCGAGACACGTGCGGCGCGAGGGGGGATTCCAGCTGCCGTCCGAGTGGGCAGCGCGGGCACAGTGCCCTCCTGCGGCCTTCGCGGGAATAAGGGCCTCCACTTCACGGCGAAATTGGAAGCGGGGAGGGCCTGTGCGGGCGAGGGCGCGGACGCGCGAGGTCCCATTCAGGTTTTTTTTTTTTCCTCCCAGGCTTTCCCTCCATTCATTCCTTCGCTCGCTCATTCATGAGCCTACCGGGGTTCATTCATGAGATTGGCCGTCGGGAGGTTCTGGAGAGACAGCACCCAGCAATTTTTCTATCTTTTGCCACTTGAAGTAGCGGCTGGACAGCCTTCGGGTGGGCTTTCTGGCTGAACAGAAGAACGGAAGAGCAAGAGGAAGATCAGAAGGAGGAGTTAGTTATTTATAATAAATGCGAATTTTATGTATGCTTTCTAAATCGATTTTTAGTCAGATAGGTAAGGAAGGGGAAGACTGATTGGGAACGGAGGGAAGGAAAAAAAAACTGCGACAAAAACTTCCTTTGACTACAGTATTTGCTTTGCATGAGGAATGAGCAGAGAAGGCAACTTAGACCTCTGCTTTTGGGGGGGGGGTGGCGGGGGAAGAAAACAGCAAAGGAGAGTTCAAAGGTCTTGTTTTTATTCTTTACCTTTGTAAAAAGAAGTAAAAATCAGATCGTGTATGTTTATGCAATATTGCTTATGAATCTACAAAAAGATGCAAATTAACCTTTCCTGATTGTGAGATTCAGGGCAGATTTTTCATGTGATCTCAGAACACATCAGGATGGTCCTATCTGAAACCGGGATCTTTTCGATCCCACCTCTCAGGGGCTTGCTTGATTTTTCAGTGGAGATATTGGCAGCAGAATATTATTGTTATAGGGATTATGAATTGATAGCCAGATAGTGCTATAAGCCGGTATTTTTCACCTTTGGAAACTTTAAGGTGTTTGGACTTCAAGCTCAAAATGTCGACAAACATTGCTGTAAACAGTCTGATCTGTGTATAAAAAATAGCAGGGAAATTACTCCTTTTCCCTTCTCAGAGAGAAAACGGATTGTGTTTATTTTTTAAAGGTGCATGTCATTAAATTCAATTTATGTGCAAAACATGTTTACATTATTCAAAAAGCCATAGGAAATGCTAACAAAATAGTCCATAGAGCTAAATCTCCTTCTCATTTTGGTGTCTAGCTGGAAAAGAAAGAATAATGTCATATACGTAAGCTCAATATATAATTATTTGGAGATTTAGAGACTTGCTCCCTTCTTTTTTTCAAAGGAAAAAAAAGGAGAATTTACCAATCACAATGCCGTGATCCTTAATCATTTGGTGATTATGTCATTTTTGAAGTCCTTGACACCACATAATGAAAGATGCTGTGCTGGGCTATAAAAAGGGAAGAAAAAGCAATCATAATTCACAAGCTGAATAACAAACAAATGAAAAAGTAGGAAGTGATAGACATGTAAAAAACATCCTCTAAGAAAATGCAGCAGTTTCCTATGATGGCATGCCATTTGCTAAGAGGGGGAAGAAAACTGTGCTAAAAATAGCATCCAGTGCTCTTACACGTGCCTTATGCTACAAGGATTTTTTTTTTCTGATTTGTACTGATCACAGATTCAGAGGAACAGTGCAACAGAAAGTGAGGAAAAAGGATGATGCATCACTATACTAAGCCAGTTTTTGTCAATCAAGCTATCCTTGCAAGAAAGCAGACTTATTAAAATCTTTCAAAAATATTAAAAAAAATATTCAGGACCTCTTCTAACATCATGTTATTTCAGACCAGTGTTCAACTATTTTATCTGAAAGAAAGATGATGCTCTGTTTTTAAAATAATCCCCCCAATTAAATGTGGGCCATGATTTTGTGCAATACCAAACTTCTCCAACTCTAATTGTAGCGGTCCTCATTCCTGGAAAACTTGGAAGAAAATTTCCTGTGACATGAATATATGCACATGACACATTTGCATATATGTTTATATATCTGCATATACTGAATTGCCACATCTACATCAAAAGACAGCTTGGCTGGAATTCTCTTTCCAAATTTATATTGCTTTTATTGTACATTGCCCAGAGTCATGATCATAAGATGAGCAACTATATAAAGGTGACAAATATTAATTGAAATAATTACTAATTTAAAATAAATTACCTTTAACATAAAGTAGATTATTTATAAAGTTAATTGATTTCCTGCTGGCATATAATTCATATAATTTCCTACTGGCATATAATAACACAAATCAGTCTCAGACACTCACTATCTTGCTGCAGTAGAAAAAGTAAACAATAAAGACAGAGGAGACAAGGGAATAACATCAAAGGGAAGGAAAGGGAGGGGAAATGAAAGGAAGAACAAATTAGATGGAAATGATACAGAAATATGTAATTATTAAGCAGTGGACAAAAAAGAGGAGGAAGTCCCACTAAGGCCTTACCTACATTTATCTTTCTCTAGAGGATAAAAAGCTGTTAGAAGAGACTTCATAAGTGTTTGTGGGAGAATTCCTTATAGAGTGGATGTTGCCACTTTCATCAAAGTAAGCACGGTGCTTGACACAGCTCTAATTAATGTAATAAAACAGGGGTGTCAAACATCATCACAGTGGCATCACATGACATATTGGGACTTTCCCCCTTCGCTAAACTGAACATGGGCGTGGCCAGCATGTGACGCATCTGGCTCCTGGGCTGGGAGTTTGACAGCCCTGTAATGAAATAAATAACACTCAATAATGTGAATAATTTGATATAGAATTAGGGAAGTGTAAATTTTCTTACTCCAGAAATCATTCTGGAAATTTGGACCACCACTCCATTTTGGGTTGATCCAGTTTTGAAGGATGGGGGGAAAAGGCACTCAGTGAGGTAAAACAAGGAGATCCAAACAGCAAGATTGTTCTGAACAAGATGGCCCCAAGTAGTTGCAGATCCTTGAAGTCACTGCTCTGTCATGTTTTCCAACTAAACTGCTTTTTTCCTCTTCCTTTATGCTTTTCACTCTAGTTTTTCATCTTTCTAGTTTGTAAGCTTTACCTTATGTAATTAAAGTAAGTATATTCATATATTACTTTGAAGGATATAATGCTATATGTGTGGCCCTTGCTCACAACATAAAACTGCTTACCTCAATACAATTCAGGAAAATGTACCTCTTTATCTAACCTCAGTCAATTGTCTCTTGAAATACCATTCTGTATTATTTCAACTACAGTAATTTATTTTAAACATATGTCAATTGCCTGATGCTGCCTCTTTGTGTTAGTGTATACCCATTAAGGCCGTATTTCAACAATGGTGTAATTAAGTGATTCATTAAAAGATGTAGTTGTTTCATTTCATTTGGGAAGACGGATCAAACTCCGTGTACATTTTGTTTTTCTGTGATCGCTCCTTACTTTCCAGAGCACCAGTTTTGCATGCACTTTAATGAATAAGCATTCAGGTAATCAAGACATGATTCATTTTATATAGTAAATGTCACCAACATAAACATTGCTGATGGGTAACATCATCCCCAATTCCCTCCTCTGCCCTTTGATTTTCCTTTTATCAAAACATCTAAACACCAGGGAGAAACAGTATTCATTAGCAATGAGCCAAAAATGGCTTACATATTTGAAAGAAAATCCTTGTTCAGCTTGGACAAGAAATTGCCTGTTTAAGGAAAATCTTAGGAAGATCTTGACTTCAAATAATTTTGTAAGAGTTGTCCTTGTTTTGTGAAGTCATCACCCAGTAATTTGAAGCCTCTTTAGCTTTCTCAGTTCAATTAAATTTAAGAGGCTATGAATGAACTCCTCCTAGGAGCTATTTATTATCAGGGATTAAGGGCAACCACATATACTGCAGGTAAACAATAAAATACTGTTATGCAACAATAAGAACACTACCTTAAGTTAAGCGCTGTCAAAAAGTTCCAAAGTATTTCTTTGAGAATTAGAAAAAAAAACCAGAAGTCTTTCAGAAAAGAAAATATAGAAAACCAGGAAATAATTTTTGGTACAGCATTAATCCATTCTTTCTGCTCTCCTTTACTTCCTTTGTTCCTTCATTTAACCACTTTTGCTTTTCAATGCTGCCTGAGGAATTCTGGGAGAGTCCCCTGAGGTTGAAAACACTGTTGTAGAGTTCAGGTAGGCAATTTTCTCCACGTTTCACCAGCTGTAAAAAGCAGTTCTTCGCAGTGGAAATTGTATTATGCCCTATTATTGAAATGCCACTTTAGTGGATGCCATTTTTGATGTAACTACAAATCTCTATAAAATCAAGAAAATGTTCCTATTCCTGTTATAAATCAATGTTGTATATTTAATATTGGAATAGGAAACCTTATTGCGAATTCTTCCTTGCAAATTTCACAGCACTTTCCAAAATCGCTGAACTCATAAGATTCCACTTACTAGATTTATTTTCTCTCAGGAGAGTATAATTGAATAATAGAAAGCAGCATTTTCCCAAGACTAATCTTAAAATTTTCCCAGTGATGCTAAATCTCTTTGAAAATGTTC